AAAGAATTTTTTAATTTCTTCTATGATCTCCTCGTTAGTCCAGCGGTCTTCCAGTAGTGTGGGTTTCAATCTCCATGAGGTAGGAGTGTACCTTGCCTTCTTTCTATGGTTTATTTCTAGTTTGATGCCTCATGGTCAGAAAAGATGCTTGGTGTGATTTCAATCTTGGTGTATCTGTTGATGTTTGTCTTGTGTCCCAGTATGTGATCGATCCTGGAGAATGATCTGTGTGTACTTGAGAAAAATATGTACTCAGATTTTTTTTGGTTTAGTGTTCTATAGATGTCTGTTAATACCAAGCACTCTAGATCCTTATTTAGAGATTTAGTGTCTTTACTTATTTTTTGTCTCGTTGATCTATCCATTGTTGATAGTGGTGTGTTGACGTCTCCCACTACCTATGTGTTTTCTCTGATGTCTGTTTTCAAAGATGACAATAGTTGTCTGATATATTTTGGTGCTCCTTCGTTTGGTGAATATATGTTAATGAGTGTTATTTCTTCTTGAAGTATTGTCCCCTTGATCATAATGTAGTGACCATTGGGATCTCTTTTTATCTTTTTGAGTAAGAAATCTGTTTTATCTGATATGAGTATAGCTGTTCCTGCATTCCTGCATTTTGGTCCATTTCCCTGTAGGATTGTTTTCCATCCTATAACTTTGAGTCTATTTTTATCTTTTGAAGCCAAATGTGTTTCCTGGAGACAGCAAAAGCTTGGGTTTTGTTTCTTAATCCAGCCTGCGACTCTGTGTCTTTTTATTGAAGAGTTTATTCCATTGACATTTAGAGTTAATATTGATATGTTAGCATCTGTATTTGCCTTTGTGTTTGTCTTTCCTTTGATTTTATTTATTTATTCTTTTAATAACTTTTTTTGGCCTTCTTTCGTTGTTATTCGTCCCTCTGAGGTTCTGGCTTTAGGATTCCTTGTAGTATTTTTTGGAGTGGGGGTTTAGTCGTAATAAAATTCCAGAGTTTCTTTTTGTCTGGGAAGGTCCTTATTCTTTCTTCATAGAGGAAGGAGAGCTTTGAGGGATAGAGTATTCTTGGTTGCCATCTGTTTTCTTGGAGTCTGGAGTCTGTTGACTATGTCCCTCCACTCTCTCCTTGCCCGTAGTGTTTCTTCAGAGAAGTCTGATGTCAGCCTGATTGGTTTTCCTTTGAATGTTATCTGTTTCTTCCCTCTTGTCAGCTTCATTATTTTTTCCTTATCTTGGATTCTTGTGAGCTTTACTATTATATGTCTTGCTGTATTTTTCCTTTCGTCATGGAAGTTTGGTGTTCTTCTTGCTTCTTGTATATCAATTTTCAGCTCCTTTTTCACGTTTGGGAAGTTCTCTTCAATTATTTCCTTGAATATTTTCTCTGTTCCTACATCTCTCTCCTCTCCTTCTGGGATTCTTATAACTCTTATATTTCCTCTCCTCATGGAGTCAGATAGTTCCTGAAGTCTTTCTTTGGTCTTTTTCCTTCTTAATTCTCTTTCCTTTTCTGTTTTAGTTCTTTTTATTTCTGTGTCTTCAAGAGTACTTATTCGTTCTTCCATTTCATCTATTCTGCTTTCATTGCTTTTCCCAGAGTTCTTTAGTGCCTCTATTAATTCTTTGATCCCCTGCATTTCTTTTACTTCCCTCTTTAGGGACTCAATTTCATTTCTGATTGTTAATTATTTTTCCCTTATCATTGTTTTCCTTTATGACTTCTGTCAGTTTTTTAATCATGGCAATTTTAAATTCTCTTTCTGGAAGGCTCAGAAGTTCTTCTCAGTTACTGTCGTTGCAATCTGGTAGGTGGTTTTCTTTTTGTGGTGTGCTTTTTCCTGAGGAGTTGCTAGGTTGCATATGATTTTTCCACTCCCTACTGCATGTTTTCTAATTTGCCGTATTCCTTGGGACACTGTGTTGCTGGTACTGGCCGGCATCTTGGGCAAACTTCCCGGCTCACCTCTGGCTCCTCTGGGAGCCTTCTGCCGGTTTCAAACATTCTCCAGCAAAGGAAGGTCCCTGCTCCAAAATGGCGATGTGGGGGATGTGCTCCCCTGCGCTCCCGGTCTGCCCCAGTGGTGGGTGCCGCTCCCCTCTGCGCTTGGACTGCAGGCCAGAAGGGGCCTGGCATGGGCGAGCCTCCTAGCTCACCTCTGGCTCCTCCGGGAGCCTTCTGCTGGTTTCTCACAATCTCCACCAAAGAAAGGTCCTTGCTCCAAAATGCCAATGTGGGAACGCACTTCCCTGCGTGCCCCGTCTGCCCCAGCAGTGGCGCGGCACCCACTGCTGGGGCTACGGGGTGCGCAGGGGAGCGCGTCCTCAGCATCACCATTTTAGAACCTTTCTTCAGTAGAGACAGCTTGAAACCAGCAGAAGGCTCACAGAGGAACCAGAGGTGAGCTGGGAGGTTTGCCCATGACGGGCCCCTTCTGTCTGCAGTCTGAGCCCAGAGGGGAGCGAGCACCCATCACCAGGGCAGACAGGGCATGCAGGGGAGTGCGTCCCCAGCATCGCTATTTTGGAGCAGGGACCTTTCTTTGGTGGAGACTGTTTGAAACCGTTAGAAGGCTCCCAGAGGAGCCAGAGGTGATCTGGGAGGCTTGCCCACGCTAGGCCCCTTCTGGCCTGCAGTCCTACCTATTATTTTTATAATTATATAAACATGTTCAAATCTTTGTTGAATTCTTTTCTGTTAGAAGAGTACACCTTATAATCCATAAACATCTGTATTTTCTCATTTCTCACCAACATCTCAGCCTCCATAATGCAGGTTCTCCTAGCCCATTCTGTTCTAGGTGATTCAACAAAAGTTTCCCCTTTATCAACCCCAGTCTCCATGGTCCTCTCACCCAGTCTCCCTTCATTCAGGACACTCCTGACCTCATCTTGAAAACACCACCATCTTGGATGGGTCACTTCCCTCTGAGGGTGGCTTGTTGTAACTTGGCCCCCTGCAGAGCCCCTTTCCTGACTTTTCTCCCTGCACCTGCTCCTTGAAGGTGGCACAGTTCCAAGGTCTACTCCTTAAAGCCATGTCTTATCTCATAGCCTCTCCCAGGCTTCTTCTCCATCAGCTCCTGTGTCTCCTCATACATCACTATCAGATATCATCTCACCAGCCTCCCCCTCTCTCTCCCTGATAGCCCCATCCCTATGGGTTACATCTGCCAGGATTCCTCACATGTTCTTCATACCCTAAATTCTACATCTGAACTCATGCTATTGTCTCATCTCAGATAAATTCATAATAAAAAATGTTCCTAATTCTTCACTCTTCTTCATATCAGGCTCACACTCTGCCATGTATATTTTGCTCACACTCTGACTCTGGGATCAGTCATGGTACTTCATGTGTCTAATGAGAGATCAGCTCATGTGACTCAGCAGAGGTTTAAAGTGCTGGCCCCATGGGTCTTCTCTCTGCCAGCTCCATGGAAGGACATTGTAGTTCAGGTGGAGCAGGGCCTGTCACCAGCCTTTTGCCCTGAAGCTCCTCCCTCAGCCAGGAGCCAGTGACCATTCATGTAACAACCCCAGCCAAAGTCCATTTGGTGACATTTTCCTCTGACCAAAAATGTAGGAGTAAGTTCAGTGGAGAGAAGTCAAGTCCAACTAGGTTAGCTGAAGTCCCCACCAGCCCATGTCAATACAAGTCCATTACTACAGGTCATTGAGAGATATTTTTCTGTGGTTCTTTGTTACACAGCAGCATTATGGTGACAGGTAACTGATACACATTATTAATGTTCTTGACATTAAATCACAAACTGACTCTACAAAGCCTCAGAAGCCTCTGCATTTCCCTCTTCCTCTTTAAATTCTGTGACCCAATTCTTCTCATTCAATTGGGTTATTTCTAAACTTCACTGACAGTACCTCCTGTGCACCCACAGTCACTGTGTGAACCAGCCCCCCTCTCCACCCCATACCTGCATCCACAACTCCAGATACTGTCCCCACCCTTGTCCTCCCCACTACTGCCAGAGTCACATGCTAAGCGCTGCTGTGCTGAAAATCTTCAACAGCTACACATACAAATACCACAAATGTGCACCAGGACTCCTCATCTGTGACTCCTCCCCAGCCTCTTCTCTCTGCAGTGCTCACACTTTTACACCCTGTGCCCTCAAGTCCCAACACCCCAAACTAAAGAATCTAACTGCATTGTCCACAATCACCAGGCTCTGTGGACCCCATCATCCTTTCTTCATCTGGTCTGCAGGGCTTAATAGAACCTGTTAGATAAAATGACATCCCAGCAAAAATATCTACATCACATGGAGGTTTTTATGATTACTTTTGGGAACATTCATCAGCCACCCTCAATCTCTCCACTGTGTACCCACAACATCTTTTCATGACAGAATTGTCACCTCACAACACCCTGCTCCTCACTCTCCCACCAGCCATGAGGACTCCATGTGAGCAGATCACACACCAAACACATGCTCCCCCCAGGTCATTCACACGGGCTGTGCCTCCATGTAGAAAGTCCCTTCTCTATAATGTACAACATGCCTGTAGCCAACATTGTTGTGGGATGTGTAGGGAACTTCTTAAAGGACAAACTCCAAAGAATTTTTTTTTCAAAATGAAGAAATTTTCCTGTTTTTGCTTCTTTTTCTTTCTTTTTGTTAAACTTATAAGAGCAGACAGATGTGATTTAACCTATTGTGGCCATCAATTCACTGCATATATAAATCAGTCATTATGCTGTATGCCTCACATTACATATGATACATAGTGATTATATATCTACAAAACTGGGGAGAAAGGAACACCCACACATCAGATATCTACTCAGTTGTGTTCTCACTTCCCTGGAGTCTTTGTTCCCATGGCACCAGCTTGAGCTACTATTTATTACTGTAACCTCCCCTCAGCCCCATATTGCTGACCCATATCCCCTGCTCCATTTAGCTTCCTGTCCTCATCACTTCTCACTTAGAAATGTCATTTATTCCCTGGTTATTTATTACAATTGCTCTCTCTCCCACTACAAATAAAAACTCAGAGTGAAGAACTTTATTAGATTTGCTTTTGTATCCAAGAGTTTAGAACAGGGCCAGACATGCAGTAGATACCCCATATATTTACATTTCATAAAACATGAACTAATAAGCCTTTTCTTACCCATAAATGAAATGAAAAACTAAATTCCATTGCCCTTATTTTCTCCCCAATTCCAAAATTCCAGGACTCTGAGATATTTAACCATGTCACCAACCTGCCACCTGCAGCTCCAAGCTAGCTTCCTGGTGGAAGTCTATATCACTGAAGAAGCAGGTGTACAGCCCGTTGTCAGTAGCCTGGACCTTGTGAATGCACACAGCAGCCTCCCCCACACTGAGGAATTCCCCCACCAGCGAGGTCCGCCCTGTGTACTGGGCCATCAGTTCCTCATTCCGCTCCTGTCAGTCTTGATAGGTGAACACTGACTCCCAAACATTGGACTGGAACCACCTCAACTCCATGTTCTCTGCACTCTTGACTGGGTCCAGGAAGCAGGGCAGTGTGGCATCCTTGCCCAGCTCTGCCACTATGGGGTCTGGGGGGCCAAACACATGGAACCTCTCTGTGAACACAGACATGGGAGTTAGAAAGGTTGAGAGACACAGTCATATCGGGTAACACACACCATCACCGGGGGAGGCCCACGCAGGATGAGGGAAAGTGTCTGATGAGCAGACAGCTGACATGAAGGATTAGCAGTGACAATTCTGAATCTGGGAAAGATCTTCCAACCACAACTTGTGGTCCAGAAATAATGTCAAAGATGCTCCCTATTCGCTAGTGTACCTGATAGCAGGACCTTCCATAAGGAACTCTAACTCCATGGTTCTCCCCTTTAGCATCACAATCTCCAGGAGGGCTTGTAATTGTAAAATGCAGGGACCCCACCCCAGGCCTGATGCAGCAGATTGGGATGTACCCAAGAATGTGCATTTCCAAAAGGTTCTTGGGGGACTAAGAAGGTGTCTAAGGAAATTTGTTTCATTGCACGGAGTTATGAGTGAACAGAGCACCCAGAGAACACCAGGCTTGGGACAAAACTGGACACTCTCATAGAGCAATCACCAGGAAGACAGCACCAAAGGGTCACAGAGGAGAGTCATGCTTCACTGACCAAGAGTTAGGCAGAGAAGACACCAAGAGGCTGTGGTCAGGGTTGGGGAGGTTGCAGCACACACTGTGGTGGTCACTCAACCAGCCACGTGACCCTGGGCAGGGAGAGCTGACAGTGAGGGGCTCACAGCTCTGACTGGGCGCTCCCAGCTAACAAGATACCCAGTGAAATTAACAAGGTCCCCAATGAAGGCACAGAGCTGGAAGTACCTCCACTTCCCCCTCAGGACTGGCCCCACCCTCCTAAAGCTCAGGAACAGTGTGCACAGGCAGAGTCTCAAGGCTGAACTGGGAGAGGCAGGTGTCAGGGGGGCCACAAAGATGAGCTCACACACCCCAGCCAGAGCACCCACACCAGAGGCTGGATCACTGCAGACCCCACAGTCTCTGACTCAGCATCTCAAATACCAGGTCTCTAGTCCTACATAAGTTACAAATCTAACAACACAACAGGGCCACCTGATGGAAATTCAGAAGTAGCTCAACTCTCTAAGTTACCACTACAGATGTATTTTTTCAAAAATAGGATATTTTAAGCAGTAAAATAAGCCCCAGAAACTTGAGATCTCAAGGGAATATGAAATCACAAGATGAGACCAACTCTGCAATATGCAACTATGAAGATATGGAAGATTGTATCTTACTATCAAGTAAGAGCACAAATTGCCGTAACAAAGAAAGTCAAAGAAATGGAGAAAAAAGAAAGAAGTGAATCAAAAAGAAAAACAAAATTCAGAAGAATAAATGAATGACTTGGAAAATAAAATGAGTAAAAAGAAACAGAAATTGAAGTGTTAAATTATAATCACAGAGATGGAGTCTGTAAAAATATTAGCAGAGAAGCTACTCACTCCTGGAGAAGCTATTGGAGCAGAATAGGCCAAATGGAAGATCAAATCAGTGACCTGACTGTAATAATGAACAATGAACCAAAATAGAAGAAAAAAGAGAAAATGAAGAAAAACTGGAAGAACTAACCAATCTATGAGGAAAGCCCACATAAACATAATGGATATTCCACAACATGAAGAGAGACAGAAACAGAGATTCTTTCAAACAAAGAGAGTAACATTACATATATACATATACATACACACATAATGAAATATACTCAGATTTTTAAAAAGATTTATTTTTATTTATTATGCATACAAGAGCTGGGGTGTAAGCCAGAAGTGCGGGGAATAAGGTGATTTACCAGAGACACAGTGAGGAGCAGAACAGGCAGACTGACAGAAATAGACTGCTGCGGGGAATAACTAGCAAGACACAAGAGGTCTGCTACAAGATGTGGATCAGTTCCCTGCCAGGGATCAAACTCCTACTGCACTGGCTGGTGATAGCTTGATAATGCTGAGACTTAACCCCCTTGCACCACCAGGGAGGCCCACAGATTTTTTTTTTTTAAATAAGTAAAATCATGTCATTTAAAACAACATGGATGGAACTTGAGGACATTATGCTAAGACAAATGAAAGAAAGGCAATTCCTGAAGGAAGAGCCCCCAGAGCCCCTGGGCCCCAACCACCTGAGGGAGACACAGGACAGGGAGGGACACACTCACCTTGGGACCCCCCGGGCGGGGGGCAGCTGAAGGAGGAGCAGCAGGGAGGGGAAGAGGCAGAGCACAGAACTGGGGCAGGAGCAGGGCACCATCTCCTCAGGGCTGGGGAGAGACAGGGCAGGAGGCAGCCAGGCCCACACAGAGGAGCAGGGCCGCCAGGAGCTCTGGACTCATGGGGGAGCAGGGCCCAGGGCCCCCCCCCACCAGCAGGAGCAGGCCCCTTCCTGGTGACCCCGTAGGCCTTGAGACCAAGGAGGACAGACCTGGCTCCTCTTGGGGATTCTGAGCCTCTGTGCTGCTAGAAACCATGAAGTTTATTAGAGAAAAACATCCTCCTTTCCTTCATACAGTGTGGAACCCACACCCCAGACCCATTCTCCTCAGTACACCAGGTCCCTCCATTCCCAGCACCTGGGCCCGGGGTGCAAATTGCCCCCCCTCATCATCACATCCAGTGACTCCCCAGGACAGAGGCCCAGACCCAGGCCCAGCATGAAGGACAGGCCAGCGCCTGCTTGTGGTCCTGTCACCTCAGTGTGAGCAGGTGTCCCTGAGAAGCCTCAGGACACACAACACTGTCCCCAGTGGGTCAAGGTATCCCCAAATGCCCCTGTCCGGCTCTGTCTGCTTTATCAGCTCACCTGAAGGTCAGTCCCTCCCAGCCCTGACCTGCCAGGGTCAAGGTCAAGGTCCTGCCCAAACACAGCAGGAGCCAGGTCAGATCCCCACTGAGGGCTTCTTCCATTTCTCTCTAACTCTGGGGGGATTTCTGCCTTGTAGTGAGGGACCCAGTGAGACAGAGCAGTAGAGAAGGGAAATGATTCCTGCTCAGATAAAATACCCTCAAACCACACACTGCTGGGGTCAGGGGGAGGCAGGTGATGGACCTGGGAGGGCAGATTCTGGGGCTGACTCTGAGGTCGTCTCTAGACTCAGCCACTTCATGAAGTCTCTTAACCTTCCTGCTACACTTTCCCCACAGAAAAATGGGAATAGTATCAGCATCTCCCAACCAAGGTTGGAATGAGAATTACATGAATTATATTTGAATATTCACTACATAATTCTAGAACAGGGTCCTGCCCCAGGAGTGTTACAGACACATTATTAAAATAAGTGAAGTACAATCTTCAGTGAGGTTGTGCTGGGTCCTCTTAGAGCTGCACCATTTCCTGTGCCACCTCCCATCCCACCCAGCCTCACCACATTCTCAGCCCCTCCTTACAGTCAGCTGCTCCCCACTTTCTTTTCTTGAAAGAATCATGTCTTCAAAACTGACATACCTGCTGTGAAATGGTGGGGCTTCTAGGGCGTCCCTTCAAACTTGAGAAGTTTCAGTGCTTCCCCAAATCTTCTTACAGAGTTAGAACCTGCTGTTAGCTGCTCAGGAGCCCTGCTGGGTGCCAAGGGGCCTCATGGCTCAGAGAAGATGGTTCCCAAGAGAGTAGACAGGGAGAATTTGGCACTCATTGAGGGGTGCCTCACCAGAGGTAGGATCCGTCGGATCCTCCTAATTTTCCCTTAAAAAAACAACCACACTTCTCTGGCTCCTACACGATCTGAAAGGAAAAGCTTGAAATGCAATCCCAGCAACCTCCACCCTGTCCTCCAGACAGTGCACCCAAGAGAGCACTTCCTTCTTCAGGAAGGAAACAGTATAACAGATGGGTCAGCGGAGGGGAGGGACAGGCACCCTGACACCCCTGCAGACACAGGGGGAGGCACCCATCCTGCACCCACTGTGAGTACCCACTGTGCTCCAGGCTGCTTGTCTTCCAGACCCAGAACTAGGGGAGAGTGTGGGGCCTAGTCAGGACTGACTCTGAGCCCTCTGCAGGGCTCTGCCTGTGCCCCATGGTGGCCACTCCAGTGACCACATGGCAGCTGTCACCCCACATGGCAGAGCCTGTGAAGAGCCCCCAGGGGGCTGTTTCTCTTTTCCTCACATCAGCTCACCCAGGAGCCCCCACACGCTGGACACCAGGAGTCAGCACTGGGCACCAGGAGCTGCCAGGACCTGGTCCTGCCCACACTGTGTGGAGGGGGCCTGCGGCTTGTTCAGATGTTAATGTCACCTGAGACTTGGTCACAGTGACCAGACCCTGTCCCTCCGGGACACAGGGTCACCAGGAAGGCCTTATTCTCCCCCCTCACTTCCTGTGGCTTCCCCTTCTCAGTGAAGGGCACCTGTGACACCCCAGTTATCTCTGCCAGAAACTCCAGCGCCATCTTTACAGTCCACTCCCCTCACTGTCTACTGCCCATGCACCCAAATGTTCAATCCATGTCCATGACCAGCAGCTATTCCACATCACCCTCATCTCTCATCTGGCCCAAGGGTCACCCATCCCACCTCTGGCCTCACCTCCACCAGTCCATTTCCTTCCAAGGTCATGACCCTCTCCAGTCAGCTCTTGTCATCTCCCTGTCTCATCCCTTCAGGGGATCCCTCTGCTTAAAGGAGGGGCTCCCAGGCCTCCCCCTCCCTCCCTCTCTTACACCCTCCCATTGCTCTCCCATGGGCCCCCTCTGGCTTAGGTGACTCCTCCAATTCAGGGAGCTCTCCCAGCCTCAGACCTCCTCACAGTCCCTGATGCTCCTGCTGCCTCTGCTCCCCAAACCCTCACCTTTCAGGCCACATCGAGGTGACCTGCTTAGAAGAGCCTCTGCCAACCTCCTGATTGCACTTGTTTACCCCACACTTGTTTATCGGGCTTAGGGTCCTGTCCTCTACCCCGTCCTGACATGTGTCATCTGGGAACCATGTGGGATCCCGGGGGAGGCCCTATGAGCCCTGCTCCATGTCCTGCAGGGAGGGGCCGCACCAGCTTCATCTGAGCTTGTCTGCAGAGGAGATGTGGAACCAAGCATAAGTATTCTTAGCCGTTGCTTTGTCATTTTGTGTGTAACTGCCATTCTAGAATTTTAGGTTTTGCTGGGAAAAAGACTGCATTCCAGAGATAGTTTCGACAGTTTCGACCCTCACTCCACCCTCGCACTCGGCCACCAATGAGGGCAAACTTGCTGTAATTGGAGCTGCAGGCTGGAGCTGCATCTCGGCCGGGCCAGTCAGCTTAGAATGATAGCCAGTCAAAGTTGGAGAATGCATACTTGTAGTCAATGAGTAACTGCCAGCATAATTTAACCTTATTAAAAGACCCCTGCTTCCCTTGTTCGGGCCTCTCGGTATCTGCCACTGCGTTGGTAAGTGCCATGAGCCTGGACTCGAGTCTGTAATAAACTCCCTTTTGTGTTTGCATTGGCTGTCTTTGGGTTCTTGGAGGCTATGCTCCCCAAGTCTGCTGACCTTGGGCACAACAGAGACGCTGCTGCTGCTCGTTGGCCCCTCAGTTTCGTACACTCAGAAAACCCTTCAGTCCACTGATGTTAGGCATACAAACAATCATGACAGGTGTAAAGGGACAGCCAGGCCTAGGTTTTGATTCACCAGTCTTAGGTTTCGATTCCTCCAACACTATGGGGTCATTTCTGATGAAACCATGGTCTAGAAAACAGGAACTGAAAATTGATGTAATCAGCTAACTCTGTAAAGGACACCCAATCAGCGGATGCCTCCTCTGTGTCACCCAAGGATGGGCCGTTTTTGTGAAACCACAATGGAATGTTACCCCCCCTATAAAACAGCTGCCTAAGGAGTGAGCAGGGGTCCTTGTCCTTGGTGCCGCTGTGTCGGACCTCTGGGATTTGGGCCCTAGCTCAAGCTAGTGAATAAACCTTCTTGCTTTTGCATCTCCTGGTCTCTAAGCATGCTTATTAGGGGGTCCTGGATCTTTGGATTTAACACTGGGAACACAAGACATCACCTCTGACCTGAGCACCAGCCTCTGATAGACACAGCTCATATGCCCCTGTCTACTATTCTACCCCCCCAAATATAAATGGGTCACTAATCATATCTCACTGAGTTGGAATCATTCAGGGCAGCACCAGTTTCTGGCCCCAGAGAGCGCCAAAATGGGCACAGGAGAGTCATGCTTCACTGACCAACAGTTAGGCAGAGAGAGACACCGGGAGGCTGTGTCATGGTGGGGAAGGCTGCAGTGACACAGTGCAGTGACACACTGTAGTATGTCACTCAACCAGGCAGGTGACCCTGGGCAGGGAGAGCTGACAGTGAGTGGTGTGGGCCATGTTACTCATGCTGTCTGACAAGATCCTTGCATGGGGGAAATTCTTAGAAAGTCGGGAGGCTCCATAGCTGGCTCCCACTGGTCCTTCTCTTTTTGTTTATGGCATTTCTTGTAATTGTTGCAATTTTTTGTGCTTGTACCTAACTACAGATGACAACTAACTACAGATTTACAACTGATTGTTCCAGAAATATGAGTACTGCAAAACGAGGCAGTATAAAAAATATCTATAAATAACATGTCCTGGAACTCCCGAGTTTTTCCTCTGCTTGAAGTTAATAATTCAAATTCTAATAATTCTTAACTTTTCAGATTTTATATTATACTGTACTCTGGAGACTATGGAAACCAAAGCCTAAGTGACTCTATCTGGCCCCTAACAATGACCATATGCCACTCTCTTTTATACAGTAAATTTATGTATATAATGCACTTTTCCACTCCTGCTCTCAGTTTTCACCTTGACCCTTTCATTTGCAGAGTTCTTTGATAAAAAGAAGGATTGTTAAATGGTGATTTATGAACAGGAGGTTTCTTTTTGATCATATAATTATATACTATTCTTAGGATGACTAGATTAGTTGGAGGAAACCCCATTTCTTCATTCCCTAATTATTAGATCAAATAAACTTCCCTTGCCGTGTAGGTAACCTACAAGAAACCGCACTGACATTTCACTAAACTTAGACTCTTTAAGATTTAGTTAATCTTTCACTATGATAAAAATAGAGGTGCTATTTTTAATCAAATGACATCATATGCCTGCTTTAACATTAATAGGATAGCTGCTCGGCTGAAAAAGATAAATGATTATAATAGGAACACTTTGTGTAGCAACTGTGCTTTTCTCAAAAAATAGTGAGCTTCATAATCTCAGTAAGAGGTCATAAAGAGGGCCTCCCCTGGTGGCACAGAGGTTGAGTGTTGGGCTGTGAAGCTGCCCGCAGACTCTGCAGCACCAGTTCAATCCCCAGCTGCCGGCAAGGGTCCCACATGGCGCAACAGGCCTCTCCTGTCTCACCCTCTGCTCCCCTCAGCAGTGTATTTCGTCAGTCTGCCTGTTCTGTTCCCCACTCTGGCTCTGGAGAATTCTCTTACCCTCCTATGCTTCTGACTATACCCAGTGCTTGTATAAATAAATAAATAAATCTTTGAAAAAAAAAAAGAGGTCAAAAAGACCCCAAGCTGTTCTTGAGAATAATGCGGTGGTTGTTATCTTTCTGCTTAACTGCACACACTGATGTGCTCCCGCCGCCTGTTTGTAATGTATAAATAAAGACCCGTTGAGACCCTCAGCAGGATGATCAAGTGTCAGTGTCTCCTCATTCCCTCATCCCCTCATCCCTCACCTTTACCGATGCCATCTCCTCCTTCGGGGACCCTGCCCAGGTCGGAGCTGGACTCTGGCAAGTGAGGGGCTCACAGCTCTGATTGGGCGCTCCCAGCTAACAAGGAACCAGTGAGGAAACAAGGCACAGAGCTGGATGTACCCCCACTCCCCCCTCAGGACTGGCCCCGCCCTCCTGAAGCTCAGGGACAGTGTGCACAGGGAGAGTCTCAGGGCTGAACTGACAAAGGCAGATGTCACGGGTGCCACAAACATGACCTCACATGCCCCAGCCAGAGCACCCACACCAGAGGCTGGATGACTGCAGGCCCCACAGTCTCTGACTCAGTATCTCAAGGATCAGGTGTTTAGTCCTGCATACGTTTCAAAAATTGGACATTTAAAGAAGCAAAATAAGCTCCTGAAACATGCCCAGAAACTTGAGACCTCAAGGGAACATGAAATCACAAGAAGAGAACAACTCTCCTTACACAACCACAAAGCCATGGAAAAGTAGAGTTCAGCATTGTTATCATAAAGAAAGGCAAAGAGATGGAGAAAACACAGACAAGTGAATCAAAGAGATAAAACAAAATGGAGAATAATAAATGAATGTCTTGGAAAATAAAATCAGTGAACAGAAAATAGAAATTGACTTCACAGAGACAGAGGCTCTAAAAAAATCAACAGAGAAGCTACTTGCTCCTGTATAAGCCATTGGAGAAGAAAAGACCAAAGAGAAGATCAAATCAGTGACATCCAATAGTAATGAACAATGGACTGAATTAGAAGAAAAAAGAGAAAAATGAAGAAAAACTGGAAGAACTAACCACCTCTATGAGGAAAGGCAACATAAGTATAATGGATACTCCACAATTTGGAGAGAGAGAGACAGGAACAGAGGTATATTTAAAAAAAATAGTAAAATTACATATATAAATATATACCTACACGATGAAATACTACTCAGATTTTTTTTAAAGCTTTATTTTTATTTATGCATACAAGAACTGGGGTGTAGGCCAGAGGTGTGGGGAGTGAGAGGATTTACCAGAGACAAAGTGGGGAATAGGACAGGCAGATCTGCTGAAATTCACTGCTGAGGGGAACAGAGGGTGAGACAGAAGAGGTCTTATGCACCATGTGGTTAGCTTCCTGGCCGGGGATCAAACTCTTGCTGCAGTAGCTGGTGATAGCTTGATAATGCTGATACTTAACCACTTGAGACACGAGGGAGGCCCTCAGATTTTTTTAAATAAGTAAAATCATGCCATTTAAACAACATGGATGGAACTTGAGGACATTATGCTTAGACAAATGAAAAAAGGTAATTCCTGAAGGAGGAGCTCCCAGGGCCCCTGGGCCCCACCCACCTGAGGGAGACACAGGAACAGGGAGGGACACACTCACTTGGGGACCCCCGGGGGGCAGCTGGAGAGCAGCAGAGGGGAGGAGGCAGAGCACAGAACTGGGGCAGGAGCAGGTGCCATCTCCTCAGGGCTGGGGAGAGGCAGGGCAGGAGGAAGCCAGGCCCACACAGAGGAAAGCAGGGCAGCCAGGAGCTCTGGGCTCAGCGGTGAGAGCAGGGCCCAGGGCCCCCCCTAACAGCAGGAACAGGGCCCTTCCTGGTGACCCTTTAGGCTCTGAGACCAAGAAGGACAGACCTGGCTCCTCTCAGGGCTTCTGAGCCTCTGTGCTGCTAGAGACCATGAGGGTTTTTTTTTTTTTGTTTGTTTGTTTTCCGTTTTTTTAAAGATTTATCCATTTTTATACAAGAACCGGAGTACAGGCCAGATGCATGGGAGGGTGAGAGGATTCACAAGAGACAGAGCAGGGAACAGGAAAGGCAGACTGACAAAGTACACTGCTGAGGGGAGCAGCGGGCGAGACAGGAGAGGTCTGTTGCACCATGTGGGATTCTCGCCGGCCGGCAAGGATCGAACCTGGCACTGCAGAGGCTGCGGACAGCTTCAAAGTGTGGCGCTCAACCGTCTGTGCCACCAGGGACGCCCAGAGAGATCATGAGGTTTATTGGAGAAAATCATCCTCCCTTCCCTTCCCACCCGGTGGAACCCACACTCCAGACCCGCTCTTCTAAGAACACTAGGCCCCTTCATTCCCAGCACCTGCCCCAAGGTAAAAATTGCCCTGCCCTCCCCATCATCATACCCAGTGACCCCCAGGACAGCAGGCCGAACTCAGGGCCCCCATAAAGGACAGGCCAGTGCCTGCTTGTGATCTGCCCCCCTCAGTGTGAGCAGGTGACCCTGAGAAGCATCAGGACACACGACATCCCCAAGGAGTCAGGGTCTCTCCAGATGCCCCTGTCCTGCTCTGTCTGCTTGTTCAGTTCACTTGAAGTTCAGTCCCTCC